TGTGCTAACCCTGCAGTGAGTTTGCTTGATTTAATTGATAATATCAAATAAATAAATAATATGTTTAATTCATGTTGGGTCCACTTCATAACAATTTTAGCAATTTTTTAAGATAAAAGCATTTTTTCAGCAGACTGACTCAGTCATGTTAAGTCATGAAATGTTCACGCTAATGCTTTCTGGCTTTCGTGTATTGCTCCACATTCACTGTTTTTGCTCATTGACCACTTTTACGTGTTCCATACCAGTATCAATACTGATACTGCAACCTGGAGTATTTGAGATTTTACATGTGAAGTCTATTGATGCTTTTTGTTTAATTATTTACACATGTTCTTGATATAATGTAACACAGTCAATCTGTATTCACACTTTTGATTCAACTAGCTTCTACAGGTTTTTGATTGGTCAGACAGACACAGCCATTTAAACAGTTAATGTACATTTTTAAGTGGAAAAAAAAGTAACTTTCAAGTCCTAAAGTTCAAATGTGACTTTTACAGCAAATAATTCAAGTGTAAAATAGGATTCCTTTTTGAAGTCTTGACCAAAGAGCTACAATATAGAATGACTTCAATATATATCTCACTCAACATACAGTAAGAGTTACATATTAACTCAAATGTAAAGTGCAGCAGACATGCCATCAGTCTGTGGTGTTGTTGTTCAAACTGAGTTTCTCACTACTCCAGACACTCGACTTGCACAAGTTGCTCTCTGCTGCTTTACTTTTTTCTTCGTCATGCAAAAAAATAAGCCCGAACTGCTGACATGATAAGAGTGCTACGATAAAAGACTGTCACTCATCTTCTAGCTGCTGCTCACGTAACATATGCTGCAGAGCACGGTTACTCAGTCTTATGTCGTTGGCTGCCTTTGCTGCAGCACAACGATGGTTGTTCATGGCATCTGTGTGCGATAGTTTGTGCTCATGGATGTGATCAGACAAACTTATCCAACCAACACTGCCATGTTTTCTACTTTTGGAATTTTTGAACATGGATGTAAAACAAGTCTGAGTTTAATAACCTTTTACAAGTTTTTCACATTTCACACTCGGATTTAGAGATTTGGATTTGGATAAAAAGATAGTAGCTGCGAGGACATGACCAACGTGCAGTGGTGTATTAGTGTGTTGTAAAGAATCATCAGGTTTATATGATACAGAAAAAAGGGGGCACGGAGCTGTTGAAGATCTTTGAGTGTGTCTTTTTTCAATTCCTGCGAGTGTTTCATGGTTGTGTTCAACTAAACAGGCTCTGGTGTGTTTCAAATAAGTCTGAGTACTTTGAATTTAGAAATTGTATTATTGTTTGGCGGTGCATTGTGGGATTTTTTAATGTAAAAAAAACTGTGCTGTGTCTCATAAAAGATCTCTTCCTCATGGGTAATTTGATTTTTTTTCCCCATAAACACCAATAGACATAAATCACTATAGTAAATCACCCTTTGATAGTGTATACAGTATATATCCAATAATCTTGGAAAATGAAAAACTGCATCAGACAGTGCCGCCGTTCTGTGGTGGTTTCATGACATACCTATACATAGAAGAATATGGACTTCATTTTTCTTTACCCCTTGACTTTTTCATCTGACCCCAAGAAGCAAATCCCTTGAAACTTCTGAATCAGTCTCTTTTTTCGGAGCTATCTTTCCAGTTCACTTGCAGATTGCAGACACCTTTTCAGATGACACACCTGTTGCCTGAGCCTTGATTTCGTTTTTTGATCAGACAGCCTTCTGACAAAAGACGGGAAGAAGGGGCTGAAGAAGAGGGAGAAGCAGAAGAAAAGATCCTTATCGAATGCTTTTCTCCGGACAATGAATTTTCTCCACCATTCAAATGTATCTGCAGAATGCTTGAGTGATTCATTACAGCAGATTCTCAAGTGTGACAATGGACCTCAGAAATGAGTGATGCTATCTTTTTGCTGATTTCATTTCCCTGATCCTCCTTATCCCCCTGGCCTGTGTACCTCTATTAATTAGAAAGTAGGGATTTCCACTCATCAACTGATGGGTTTCATGCTCTGCTCCGTCACAAATCTCCGGTCCACCTTTTTCGCTCCTCTCCTCCCATGGCTGCCTTGGAATTTGTGAATTTAACTTTGGCTTCAGTCTCAGCTGAAAGTCAGCGTGTCTTTGGCAATTTATAAATATTAATAAACCGATTAAAGAGCATAAAAAAGTTATAAGGCAGCAGTTTGACACCCATGGACAGTGATGTGGATGACTTCCTAAGGAGACAAGATGAGACCAAATGTGCCAGATCCATCCTGCTGCTTTTTCAATGTTTTATTGGACACCTGCTCTTCCTCACTGTTTTAAACAAGTTAATTCAGTCTCCAATTAACCACTTCACTGACCGCACAAAAAAAAAAAAAAGAATTATGATGACTACCACATAACAGTCATGTGGTCATGAAAATCCCAAATAGAGAGAAGCAACACAACACAAGCTAACGATGAGGAAACACATTGCTAATACTGTAGAACAACTGTGTTTCTTAAATTGTGGGTCACGAGCCAAAAGTAGATCACGAAGATACATTTAGTAGACCACATGAATGGATCACATCTAACCAATGTTGTTCAGAACAGCACCAACGAAATCTTTGTTCAAAAAGGAGCTTTTGAATTTGTCCTCATTCACTATCGTCAGATGCACACACAATTTCACCCAGACAATGGTATGGGTTGACAAAACTGGGTTTTAAGGGTGTTATAACCATTAGAGAGTGTATGCAAATGTAACAAACCTCTGGGTGGCGGTCACCTCCTGCTCCAAAGCCTCTCATAAAGTAAAACAAACAGCCGTTACAGGAGAGAAAGGTAGTCGGCTGTTTGCTATCAGCGCTGATGACACGTTGTGCAGCTCCAGCAGCAGCTCTGCCTTCAGTTTTTAGGGACTGTCTGACTCTTGAAAGTGCCATTAATTATTAATGACACCCAGCACTGCTGAAATGGCCAATTTTCCTGTTGTCTCTGTGACTAGAAGGGTGCTTGAGGGCAAAGACCTGCAATTAGCAGTTATGTGTAGGTGGCCATTCTAGACAGCATCAACTCTTGTTAGTAGCATGAGTGGAGAGAAAAGGAGACTCAACCCCAAGACTAATTATTCTCCTCCTTTCAATATGAAGACATTAAAGATGATTAGTCTTTCTAATTAGGATATGCTTTTTGAAATAACTTGTGCCTTTTGCTTCTGGCTTTTATATACGATAATGTCTTTGTTGCACATAGCTTAAGAGCAGTTCTATTACTGTAGAGAGCATTGGAAGGAAGTGGTTTTTCTGGTTAAGATTAATAACAATCTTCTGTGTCCATGTTTTATTTCCCATAATATTCATCATTATCATAAGGCTGACTTAGCAGAGGTGTACCCAAATTCTGGCTTGTGGACAAATGTGGCTCTTGGACAGTAAAACTTTTTTCAATGGTCATCATAATAGGAATGGACAATAAGAAGGGCTTTCCTGAAATCTTAACAAATTTAGCTAACTTAGCTAACGTTTATCAGTGCCTGAACTGTCTGTGGCTGTACTGTAGCTGAGTTAAATTCTGTTGATTTTGAGTTCATATTTCTAATATTTTGGCTGATAATACTTTGACATTAGTTCATGGTTACTGGCTTAACATTTTTTATTCAGCCAATAATTACCATCACATTAAAACATAGTACTCATATCACTGCAGAGGCAGTTGGCCCTTGTGTATCTATATACGTACACATATATTAGTTTGAAACGTCATCCTCTCTTCCTAAGTATTTTCAATATCCCTACAGTAATTCTTCTCTGTGATACTGCTGATACATAGGCCTATTATATTAATCTTTTCATCAGAGTAACTTCCCCCAGATGTTGTTACCACATAAGAGGCTGGTTCTGACTTGCCCACCCCTCACGCCCCCTTAGCAACATAGGAACATGACTGTGCAGAAAGAGGAGAGTTCTCATCTGTAAGATTAGCTTCGGCAAGTGGACTCCTCCGCTCTGGATGTCAGATGAGCTGAGTAAATTATACTGAGATCCTCTCAGAGATGACAGATGAAATCTGTCTCTTTGGGCTTGATGCAGAGCTGCAGGTGATGCATGTTATGTGATAAGGTGGTGATGTCACAGCCGCAGGTGGCTCCTATCACTGCCTCCACCACCTCCACTACCCTGCACCTCTCCCCTCTCCCCTCTCCCCTGGACCTGTGTGTGTGCAAATGGCAGCACTGTGAGAGAACTTTTATCTCTCCCCCATCTGTGTGGTCTCAGACGTGATGATCTTGGACTGCTGCCATCTCAACGTTCATGCCATTTAAGAAAGGGAGAGGTGCGGTGGGGGTGGGACGGAGAGAAAAGGAAGAGGTGAAGAAAGCGCTCTGATCTGACTTTTAAGTTTCAGCGAGCAGCTGTTGGACAGTTTAGAGGAAGACCTGAGAATCACATTTGACTTTCTCCACATCATGTGATATTTTATGTTTAAAGATCAACTTCTGTTTATGTCTATTCCAAAATACCTCCATTTCAAACAGATTCACACATTTAGAGAGAAAAACAACTCACCCCCATCAATAATGCAGCACAGTCATATGGAAATGCAGTACTCAGTTTACCATTTACAGTTGTAAAAAATAAAATTACATTTTATAAATTTAAAACAGTAACTTAAGAATTTGGAATACTTGTATACTGTATATATTTATACTAAGTACTTCTTGAATCTACATGATGACATTTAGCTCTCTGTTGGCTGACCTGCAGTCATCTGTTGGGTTTTAAGTCTTAGTGTTAATGTTCTTTTTTTTTAACCAGCTGTTTACTGACATTAAGCTGTTTTGAGAAAAAAAACCTTTGGATACAAAGTTAATTTAGCTGTTTCAGCTAATTAAAATATATATTATAGTCTATTGTTAGAAGTCTTTGATAAAAATGTTTCTTTCTATACCTGACCCATGTAGTAAACTGTTTTTATCGACTACGTAACTATCTCACCTCCTTGGCCGAGTTTGTACAAAAAAGCAAATCTTAAGTATGTTTACAATCTATTAAAATAAAACAAGTAATACACATGCATTAATGTGTGTTTTAAATAATTAATATATATTTATATATAACTTTATATATATGTAACACTGTTAATGTTTTCACACAGCTGTAGAACAAACAGGTACGCCTGTACTTCATGATAGGGACATCTTCACACCGCAGACACAGAGAGGAGCCTCGGTCGACTTATCACTCTAAAAATGTGGAAAAGTAAATATATGTTGCTTGTCAATAGTTAGGAATGCTTTGCCCTTTGTTTCTATGCAGCGGGTATGCATGTTGTTGTCAACGTGCCATTTTCGGACTCGGCTGCACTTCAGAGATACAGAGGCTGGCCATGTTGTCTTGCCTGTACTGTGATATTACAGCTTGGCACACTTCTTTCATGTTCAGGGATAAACAGCGGCTAACGGTATATCAACTCTCAGGTTGTGTGTTTAGACGTGGCGCGGCTTTTAATGCGGGCTATAACATCAAAGATTGTTCTAGGACTGTTCCATACAGTACGGCTGGAAATTCAATTAATTTTTATGATTGTATAAGCAAATGAAACAGAAGGGCGGCAGGAGAGCACATCGTACAGCTAAACAGCTTTGAACTACAGATAGTTTCCATTAATTAAACTGGATTGGAAGTTGTTTAATCAATTTCAGAGCCCAAAACAGTGACAATCAACCGCCCGCAGTCTCTATATGTGCATGTGTGTGCGTATACATGTGTGTGCAGGAGACTGTGGCCACAAAAAGACGGAAAAATGAAAGCATTTTGTCTGTTTGCAATGCTACCAGTGGTGCTGGAGAACAGGGTCTCACTAATTAACCTCCCCGTTGATAGTGTGCTTAATTACTTTATATTGTGATTCAGTTTTTTTTTTCTTCCTAGAGGTTATTCTCTCTTTTAGATTGCAGAAATAATCTCACATGCCTCAAAGGTTTAGAGCGGAGAATGCAACGCCTCGGTGAGACGTGGGTGCCAGCAGACATCAGTGGATAGACTTTGTGATTACCAGCACTTCCACATCAATGGAGAACTGTTTGACACCTGGCCTAGAGAGAGGGCAGCATCATGGTGCAAGAACTTTGATTAAATGGAACAAAAAGACAAGCATAGTCAAGGAGAGGTGGAAAAATGTTAAAGTAATTTTGTCTGATCACTACACTGGCCCTCTGTCTTATCAGGCAGGAGACCTCTCATCGCCTTTAAATTTCACTGGCCTTATAAAAGACGGACACAAGACACTTGTTTAATAAAAAGAAATGAAATGAAATGAAATGAAAGAGAGAGCAACAGAAGAAACACAGAAGGTGGAGAAATGAGACTCAGATTCGCAGCCTTTTGATTTTTGGTGGAATCACAATGTTGATTTGAATCATTGTCCTTTGACTGTTTTATGCAGAGTCGAATAGAAGAGACAGAGGAGGGGAGGTGACGGAGAGGACACTTTTAGATGTCACTAAAATGGTACTGATGAAAACAAGCTGAGGTAAGAATTTTTAACATGATATGTTGAATAAAAAATGTTACATCACAACACAGAGGTAAATGATGGAGATGTCTGATAAGTTGATAATATGAAGATCCCTCATAAATAAACTGTCATTTTTTTTAAATTAAAAAAAAAATCTCTTTAATATGATAATGATAATATGAAAAAAAAAATCTCTTTAATATGATAATAAATAAAATAGTGTTCCGTCCTGGATGTTGTGTTTTCGCTCCTCTCCATTTTATCCTAATACGTTTATTAATGCAACAATTCTAAAGCTGGTCAGATGCAGCTAATATGGTATGTTAGATTACACACACCTGTATCTCCCTCCCTCCCTCCTCCCCCCCCCCCCCCTCCTCTCCCCCCCCCTCCTCTCCTCCCCTCCTCCTTCTATTTGTTTTGTTTTGGGCGGTGAGGATAACACCTGCCTCCAGTTAATAGTCTTTCTAATTCACGACTTACACCCATTTCAAAATCAAAAAAAAATCACACCTTTTCACAATTTGCTTAATTTCTGATGTCATTTCCACTCTATAATTACTCCCGGCTCCTGCATATTTATCAGTCAGCGAACCTGAAATGAAAATATAAGACCTTGACACCACTTTTGCAGAATCAAAATAGTATTTAATTTCATGTCTTTGGCCGTCAAACAACATTGTTCGAGGGACGTAATTAAGACAAATTTATCTTTTTTTTTTTATTTTGGGGATATTGCCGAGACATGTGGGACCTTTGTGATAAGAAGGGGGGACGAAAGCGTTTGAACACCACTGCCCAGCATCTCAGAGTTATTGTGAATGGCTTTCAGGGAAATTAATGGTGTGGGGGGGACTGCAGTGTGGCTGTGGTGAAACAGGATGCAGATGTGGTTACAGGGCATCCAGGTAAGGAAACAGTCATTTCCTAAACACACACACACTCATACACACACACAATAAACATGGGTAAAGTTTAAATGCAGGAGAAAAAACAGGGATTAGATCGTTGCCATTGTGTGTTCCTGTTGCTCACACTGCTCTGTCTTTTGTTTTGTTTTTAACCCAGACCTAAAGGTTTTGCTTTGTAGAATACACCAGTGATGCGGTTCCTTCAGTGGTGTTTTATAATGCAAATGAACTGTTTTTTTACTGATCTATTTCTGTTAATAATCATAAAAATGTGGCCCTTGTAAAGTTCTGACGTCACATTACCTTGAGTCACATATGATTATTTTTTCTTGTTTATTTACTCCTTCCGTTTTATAGACTTCAACTTATTTTCACTTATTATAACTTGTCTTCTGAACAAAGACCACATTTCCCTTGTCTTTCAATCAAACTCGCCTGTCCTTACGAGTCTTTCATAAAATATTATAAACTGTAGTTACTGAGAGGCATGTGTATGTATACAGATGTACATCTGTATGTATATATGTACATATCTATGTATATATACATACATATATGTATATATACAGTATATGTCCAAAGATTGAATTCTAGATTGCATTATAATTTTTTTTTAATCAAATGTCTAATTGGACAGTAAATTATGGGCTATATTTGTATTGGTCTTATTAAAAACACTAGCAGTCTTATTATGACTATTTGAATTTTGCTCATTTATGATGCAGCATTTTAACATTCACCCATTTATTGGACTTCACTCATCTGAATGCACATACGGAGGACTAAGTGTCAGACAACTGCTCCCAGCAGAGTGAAAAATTGCTCTTGGAGGACAAACAGATTTTTCTGAATTTTTTTTTTTTTACGCTTGTGTACAGCCAGATTTTCTGTACGCAACCTGCTATATGTTATGTTGTCAGAAGTGATTTTTTTCTGCTCTCCATGGCAAAGAAAAATTAATTGCAAAGAGGACCAAAAATTTGTTTTCAAATTGGCTTGGTGAAGCTGAATGCCAGGGATGGAGGAGGACAGCTGTGGGGGAAGGCTGGCCGACCCGCTGCCTTCTGCCTCTCCCATGCCTTGCTGCACAGAGTCTGTGACAAAACAAGCCTCCAGGAATACTGGGCAAATACTGAGAGCCTCTCTCGGGGATCTGCACCGTTTTCCGATCCCACCGCAGCCAAAAAAGCTCCACACTCCCAAATCTGTCCCCACTTCCGTCTCTAAATTGAATGGTTGCCTCTGTATCTCACTGCCATCGAAGATATGACATTGTTATGATTGTAAAATGCCTCTTCACTCAGTGACTGCATATATGAGCAAGTCATCTCCTGCCAAGATGCTGCAAAAAGCAAACAAACATCTTCTTATAACATGCTCTAACAATGCGGAACAAGAAATAAGGTCAAGCATGTTGTAAGTGATTCCACCTCTTCTCCATCTGTGTGTGTGCTCCCACTGTACCAGGCTGTCGGGGCTCAGCCAGGAAGAGATGAGTGAGATTGTGGAGGCAGAGGTAGGAACCATTTCCACACCGCCACAATTACAGGAACCCTCATTACATTGCTCACTCTTACTCAAATACAGATAGAAGCACCCCAAAAAATGATGTGAGGGCTAGAAGGAGAAAGTGTCTCACTTCTGTTTGCTAAATTAATCGCTTCCTAAATGGCTCCAGGCCAGGCAAAGTTAACATTTGCAGTTTCAAAGGTTTTCAGCGCTTGCAATGAGCCATGAAATTACTGCATGCCGTCGAAAATGGCAGCTGATGACAAGCCCAAGGAGCAGGTCCCACAGGCGGAGAGAGCTTGGAAGTGAAATCTTAAACACAAAGTTTCTCCTTCTGATTCGGATCATGGTGAAATCCAGAACCAAAACTGGATGTGGGTGTGTGGGTCCATGTCCAAAAGGGGGACGGACTGTGACAGGACGGATGATGAGCAGCCGTTTGCAGCCTTGAAGCCTGGTCCTGGACAGAGGTTGGGTTTCAAACGGTATAACGATGGAGCTGAGGTGCAAAACAGACTGAGATTAATTGATTTAATCACGAGAGTCATGAGACACAAACATCATTAACATTAAAATGATAATAGCAAAGCAATTTGGCTGGAGGGGAATTGAACCAGTCCACATCCTCGTGTTGATACATTTCTGTCTGCACTTTTTAAATCAGATGTTTAATTACATCCACACAGGTGCAGGCGTCGTCACTGCTTTATTCCTACCCGCTTACATGTTATTGTTATGTTATTGTCAATTGTTTTGTAATGTTTTTTATAAAATGTTTGACATTTTGGGTACCTATTACCTTTTTTTTCATCTAGATTCCTGTCTTTAGTTGGTGAGCTCTAAATGTTAGCTCTTTCACACCGAAAACTGATTATACTATATTTCTTCAGCACATTTATGGCACATTACATTATAGAATGTAGTTGGCAACAATTCTTGAAATAATATTACCTATGTTAAAAACACCCAGGAGTTTATGCTGCAATTGTCTGATTTTCACAATTCACATTTAAATTCCTCTGAAACTCGTCTGTTTTTAATGTTTATTGTGTTGACAATCTTCATTAATTTTTCTATTGACTGGTCACTTCTAAAACAGTGTGCTAGCGGTTTATATGTGACAGATTAATTACAGAAAGAATTGATTACTTTGGTGCGGAGTAAATTGTTCAATCTCACTGTAGCCTGAGTAATATTTGCCCCGTGGCCATCTTTCTGCCATTATTCCACCTGCTGGCTGCAAGCTGCAGGTTCTCTGGGTATTTTATGGCACTTGAAGTGTTTGATAGCTGGTCAGATGATGAATGGAGGAGTGAGTATCTCCTCGGTGTTTCTGGTTGATTACTGCTTTAACCAGGATACATTAAATCAGTGTTTAAACATGGAAGAAGCATTTAACATTTCTGTTCAATACTAAAAAATGGAACAAAAAAAAAAGATTCACAGGAGTAGAATTTGGTATTTGTTCAAATGGGTAGTTTAAAGTAATATATGAATGATATTTTTTAGTTGTTATTGATGTTAAATCTGTTGTGTGTAAATTATGTAAGTTATGCTTTAATACACTGACATATTTTCTAGTGCCTACAAAATGTTGCTTTAAAGAAGCATGTTTGGATTTTTCTATATTTGATGGCAGTAATGTAGTAATAATAATAATAATAGTAGTAGTAACAACAGCTCCATAGCTCATTTCTTTTGTATTCGTATTTCTTTGTCTTGTAAAAAAGGAAACCACGGCCAAGTACCAGGCTAACATTTGCATGCGAGTGTTAATACTGTGGGATGAACCTCACAGCATGAGGAAACATGTTAACATGAACAGCACAATGCCATGTTAACTGGCTAAAGGCCGTCCAAGTCCCTGCACCACTTGAAAAGTGTTGTTTAAAGCTTCTCCCTGAACCCAGTCGCTCTGAAAGCGCCATTTTCTCTCCCTTTCACTCCTAATTACCATTGCCTCTCCAGAAAGTCCTCTGGTGTTCCATCTGTCCCATCAGCCAGTGACAGAGATGCTCTAATCACCTTGCATAGCAGGGCTCATATGGGAAAAGACAACAGAGCCACCATACTGTCTGAGATACAGAGCTGCTGCTGCTGGATGCCAACATTCACAGGGGGTGAGCTATAAACACCGGCCGCAGCCTCGTACGGGACCACTTCAGTGATGTGCGCTGGAATCCAGCCATTTTATGTTACAGATCTCTTATACACAGGCTAACAAAGCTGATGCCAAACTGAGCTTTGTTTGGAGTGCGTGTGACATATGTCCAATGGAAGGCACGGAAGGAAATGGAGCTACACAGATTGTTCTCAGGAAATGTCTCAGCAGAAGACTCAGGAACAATTTGGAAGTGTAATGTTTGAGGATATCTGAAAATTTGATTTAATTGAAAGATATGGGGAGAGGAGAGCAGCTTGTAATTGAAAAAGAAACTTGACTTTATAAACCATGCATGTGTTCTAAAGCCATGTCTTCACAGATCCATGCATTATTAAATTTTCCTCTGTCTGCCCTGCAGCGTAATATCTCACCCTTCTTGTGTTTGATTCTGTCATGCTCTCCCAGGTTGACAACCCCTTGACTTCTCATTTTTTGGCTTTTCCTCCTTCCCTCAGTGACTTTCATGATGTTCTTTTTTGTGGGCATGGCAACTTTCCTCCAAAACTTTTTTTTTTCTGAAGCAAAAAAAAAAACTTTCTGCTTCAGCTATAATGAAAGCCTTCTCATCTTGAGAAGAGAAGTGGAGAAAACTCAAATGATGACAGCCATCGTGAAAGGGCAGATAAGCCCGTGTGGCTTTGCCTCTGATTATATGTTCATCTGAGTCTGATCCAGCCATGATTCTAAGCCTCAGCCTCGCCGTCTTCACTCTCCCAACAGTTGATCTTCTGCATGTCATTGAAATCGCCTTATAGCTGATCCAGAAGACAGGGAGGGAAAGTGACTGTTTGTCACAAAACTTCAGTCTCGGTGTGGATGAAGAGAATTTTCATTATTGCCTCAGAGCATGACAGACTGACCAGTTATTCTACTAATGCAGTGTAAACTTCCATCTTCCATTGAAACCTCAAAAGCGCCATCTGATGTCAATCTTCTGTAGATAGTAATATACATCACACATGTCATCGATCTGTCTGTCTATCTTTCTATCTGATGTACATGGTCGTAGGTGCAACAACACTGACATCATTGCTGTATGTTGCATTAAAATGCTATGTAACCAAATTCAACTTTTTTGTGGTTACGAATGCCTCTGTCCTATCAACTCTGCTGTCTGGAAGAAATATAAAATGAAAGGAGTTCAAAAGAGTTTATATGTAAAGTTGGTAATTCTCTCCATTTTTTTTTTCTGCCTCCACCAGTTCCTTCCTGCTCTTGTTCACGTGAGGCCGTTCTCGTACGTCCTTGTTTTTCATGACACATGAGGACACCATTCCCAGGTCAGGACTGCTTGTGTTGTATTCAGCACCGGTGAGTAACGGAATTTCAAAATATTTCAATAAAACAGTTATCATATTCCAGAGAGTCCAACCTTGTGACATCCTAAAAAATTAGATGAGCAACTCAAAGTAACCCAAACTTGTACCAGTTTTATTGCTGCTATTATTATTACACTGCTAACATTAAATTGCTCATTTACGGCGCAGCCCACGTCCCACATAAGTTGTAGTTTACATTTGCTCTGAGCTTCGAGTCTCTCTGAGTCACAAATGGAACTGCTCCATCCAGTACAGCAGTACTGTAGATGAGGTACTGTGAATGGAAGTAAGCACGGAAATATACTGCGCTTTCACTGATGTGATCTATAGTGAACGCAGTATCAAGAGGTTGAATTTATCTTGCGGGCAAGTGGACCAAACAGAAGTCTGGAGGCAACTTAAGGCATGTGAGTTGGTGTATAGAGAGGAAGTTGAAAGGCTTTTTTCCTCTTCAGAAGCCACTGCTCTTACAGCACAGTTATCAAAGCTTCATATTTGATTTTTACCTCAGCGTTTCCATTAAAAACATGATAGTCGCTGTACGAAGAGGAGACCTATACGAAGGGAGCGACACACTCCTCTGCTACCCCACAGGGAGATACATACCCTGCTCACCAGAGTGTGCCGGCCCAACAGTTCCTTTCACTTAACTTGACATTTCCAGCTGCACTGTCCTGTGTTGTGTCACATCTACAGCCCCTGAAGTATGCACTGCTGAGCGCCGCGGGTCTTAAATGAGATCCCAAAGGGAAAGTAAAGATGCCATTTGAGGTGTGTGTGCGTGCGTGCATGCGTGCGTGCGTGTGTGAGTTTGTGTCTTTGCGCAAGGAGTGTTATCTTAGCCACTAATGAACAATTGTATAATTTCTATCTAAAGCAGTCATAAGGCCTGCTCAGTCTTACGGTATCTCCTCTAAATACTGTCATGATAAAGGGAGCGTTAAAAGAACAGAGCTGCTGGAGGATGAGGAGGTGCGGAGGAGGAGGGGCTTGGAGCTGTCAAGAGGGGCCACTTTGGTCAGGAGGAGTGCAAGAAAGGAAAGTCTCTCTGCCTTTATCTGCCATTTCCTGCTCCCTTCCTGGCTACATTAATAATCTGTAAGAGCAGACAATCACGCACGGCCGCCAGAGATAAAACGCGGATGACAAAATATCAACTTCCTGCTACAAAACTTAAAGCCGTTATTAGAATATCAGGCTCAGACGGTAATTAATTTCAACTTTAATTACTTCACTGTTCCTGCAGATTAGATCACAGGTTTAAGATGGGTTATTAAAACAACTGGGGAAATCTGCAGCGAAAAAAAAAAAGAAAAAAAGAAAAAGAAAGACATGGAAAAATGCAAATTTTTTATCCAACCTTGTCTCTTAACCTGCTTGTTGAGTGATGCAATTACATCTTTGTGGTGGAGACAAGGGTTTGATATGATGTAGATGAAAAATACACCCTACTACTCTGGTTGGGAGCTGAACGGTTTCATATATAGGACTAATTAATTTGCAGAATTGACTTTTCATGTAATGATAACCCTGTGTTTTCATTATTATCAGTCAGACACAGTAGAACACAGCGGAACGTTCCACAGAATCTCAGCGACCTCATCATGATAACACTTTAAACTGTTTCCGCCGATGAAACATGATGATTTGTGCAGTTTGGCATCTACCTCTGTCTCCTCTTCTATTTTAGGAGCCCCTAAAATAGTGATGCACCGATACAAACAAACACGTATGTGTCTGGGATCAACCCATTACACTGTAACAAGGCCAATCTGACTGACTTGTATGTGCAGAGCAAACATCAGGATGAGGACGAGACGTTGATTTCTCTGCAGTAACAAAAGAACTGCATTCAAGGCCAAAACTTTAGATCCCCACCCACCAAAGCAGCCTGGCTTTGTGCTAATGTGACGACTCCATGTCAATGGACTCCGTATATGTAAATAGTAATGGTTCTATCATATGGAAACCACCATGTATTCACTGCAGGAGGCAAGAACGTGATACAGTTACAGTATGTATCTGTCTAAAGATGGAGCCCATTCTTTATGGCTTATGGTTTATTATGGCTACCATAACGTGGTACCAGGGTTTTAATCAATTACAATTTTAGTCAGATGATTAATCGCAATCATAACTTATGATTGATCGTGATTAATCAACAAAATATGACAAAACATATTTTTCTATAAATTGCTGAAAGAGGAAGACAAATAACAGCATGAAATTGTTTCACTTTTTTATTTGTAACCGATTCAAATTATTGATTTTTATTTAGCTTCATAGAGTTTGTGGACTTTAGTCATTGCGGTTCATCTTGATGGTTGAGAGTTGACTTTTAAAACTTTGGTGAAACCGTTGTCTTCAACAATTTTGATCAATCTACACTCCACGAATCTCACTTCTCAGCCTTTTGGGCAGGAAGAAGTGTAGTATCTGTTGTTATCGCTTTAATATCTGATACGCCTCGTATGCGAGGACCATGTAATGAATTGATCTTTGGATCAGAGAGATGGAGTAGGACTCCGGCCTTGTATTGCAGTACCTCCAGAAACAGTGTACATTGTGTTCTTTGCCAGTTTCCCCACTGTGGCACGACTGAAGGATCGTATCCATTTGACAATTGTTTAAGTCATCTTGTCGGTCATAGACTTATTTACTGCACTTCACTTGTTGAGGCAGGTTCAAGTCGAAGACTTCACTGTACAAGATGGTATTTGAAGCTCCAATCATGTATGTGAATAATAATGTGTGTAATAGAGCAACAATACTTGAATGGACTGTGGAATTATTGGATATATTGGAGTCTGCGTCCTTCTGCCAATGTGTTAACATTAGATTATTCAGATTAATTAACACTTCACACATTAATTAAGTCATTAACAGGTTAATTTTGATCGACCTATTATAAATAAATATTTCGAGGAGAGAACTGGTTTGGAGCATCAAGTTTTCATTACACAGCGGTGTTAAAGAGCGTTGGGTGGAAAGAGCTAATCTTAAAAATCCCTGCCACACAATAACCAGAGTGACAGAAAGGAAGGATGTATGAGATAAGTGGCCAGTGATGAAACTGGATGCCAAAAGCTGAGGACAGTATGTAATGAAGAGAGAGCAGAGGGGAATGTTTAAAATAAGTTCAAGAACAAAGATAAAGCCCAAGGATGATGTTATCAGTGAGATTGAAGAGAAAAGCATTTCAGCAACAGAATGGTCACAATCACTTCATCAGTCTGACTCCACCCAGCTCCATCCCTGTCCTCCATCATGTGCTATTTCCCCTGCTACGCACAGTCAATTTTCAGTGTGTGTGTGTGTATGGGCCAACATTCCAGCAGTAGGGTAACAGAGAGCACTGATGGTCTGTCATAGTTGAGGATGTCCTTGCATTAACTCAACATCCATCACAAAATTCTACAATTCCAAGAATCCAATTTTCAGAAAAGTTGGTTCTATCCTGTAAATGAAAAAAAAAAAAAGTTTAAATTACAAACCAACTTGTATAGTAAGAAATGTGTGCCAACACGCTCCAAAAGTTTGGTAAGATTCAAAACACCGTAAAATGTAAGGTTCAATCCCAGGTTACAGGTGTGAGGTGTCAGAATTAGAATTTGTTATTTTAAGCGTTACAAAACGTATAAGACAGGTTAAATATAAAAATATTTAAATTAATTACGATTAATTTGTTCACAGGAAAATCTTAGATTATTATAGTTTTGCATAACCGTTATGGTTTGTTTCTGACTCAGCTAAGTGGGATAACAAAATGATGTCTCTTAACACTGTCTCTGTATCATGCTTGGACACTTCACCACATCTGAAAAGATATTAACATAAAATTCAGCGTCTAATTGTTGCCTTTAAATTTAAAAGTTAAAGTTTCTCATCAAAAAAGCAAAATTATATTTATAGCCTATGAACTGAAACACCTTTCAATAAAACAATTTATTTCAATTTATTTTACAAATTATTACTTTATTTCATGTTCCTTGAACTGCTATTTGTACATTCAATTTTATCATAGGATTAAATTGGAAAGAACAACATCTGGTGTGTACTACCTAAACAATATACCTGAAATAGTCAACGTGTAGGTAAATGTATTTAAATTGTTACTACTACTGTGTCTACTAGCATCTTACAGACTCTCTACATGTACAACACACATTGTCCAACTGAGGCTGTTTGTTGGAGACTCAGTTCTTTCCCTGTAAATGACCCATATGCTGGTAGTGACCACTGTTTAGGACCCTAAATCCAACACGCTGATTTCTGAAAGCTGCTGAAGCTCCACAGAAATCCTCTAGATCCTGCTCCCTGCTGGGGTTGGACCGCTGGCCAAACAAAGCTCCACAGCGTAGACTGGTCCAAAACTCTTCTCAGTTTGGACGGACACACCACGGCTGTGCTGTGTGGACAACATGACACAGTCTCTGTGCTCATTTGTGAGCTCTTTAGCTGTTCATCAGTTAGCGATTAGCAGCACGTGGCCTGCATGGAACCACTTGTAAAAGTCAGTGCAGACAGTGGCATCCCCCTGTGAGAGCTCAGGATCGACCAACTCTGGCATGGCTACAGGATACTGTGTATGTATATATATATATATATATAATATATATGTATATACACACACACATATATATATGTATATATATCCTGAAAAGATATTAATATCAGAACGGGAAATGGGTCATTATGCTTTTACCATAAAACTTTATGTGGTGCTACAAGGAGTACTTTAGGTTCGTCATAATACAGTGCTCGAACCGTTCAACATTGTGTGTCTAAGGAGAATAAAAAGGCATTAATTACCCCTCCTCACAGGCGTAAAGACCTCAGTCATTAAAGTTATTCACTGTGACTCACTGCCCTGAAATTTTGTTTTAGGTGTTATAATAATCATAAATCAAAGTACATTCATGCAATGTTGAATATAGGGCAGTAGGATCTTTTGAATTTCTTAAACGAGTATTTTACACCTAAGACATCCTT